GAACCTGGCCTTCAAGCTAGGTGAGGACGTTGATGACTTCGCTCTCCGTCTCAACACTCTGTTGCAGAAGATGGTGCAGTTCGGCGATGACACCTACGGCGAGGAGAGAGCTGTCGAAAAGCTCTTCCGCTGCGTCCCCGAGAAGTACAAGCAGATGGCTCGCTCGATCGAGTCTCTGCTGGATCTCTCCACGATGTCGATCGAGGAGGCGATAGGTCGCCTCAAGGTCGTCGACAGCGATGAGCCACAGTCCCTCTCGGGGCCCATCACCACTGGCGGGAAGCTCCTTCTCACTCGGGAGCAGTGGCTTGCCAGCCAGGGTGACCGGAGGAAGGGGGAGCCTTCTTCCGCGACAGGCGGCCGCAAGCGTGGCAAGCCGCGCAAGGCGCGCAGAGACGCCCAGGCTGGGGCGCGAGGACGTGCCGAGGGTGATGCCCGCGGAGGCGCCCAGGGCGGCGCCGCCGGCAGGCACAAGCCGGCACGAGACGACACCTGCCGCAACTGCGGCCAGCTTGGCCATTGGGCCAAGGACTGTCGACAGCCACGACGCGGCCAGGCCCACGTCGCACAGGCGGAGGAGGAGGAGCCGGCTCTGTTCATGGCACATGCAAGCATCGAGCTACCTCCAGCGGCACCGGCCACAGCAGCTCTCCTCCACCTTGATGAGCCAAAAGCACACGCCCTCCTCGACGACGGCTCCAGCAATGACAAGACTGACGGGTGGTGCCTCGACATCGGCGCCACCCATCACATGACCGGTCAACGGGAGTTCTTCACCGAGCTTGACTCTAGCGTCTGAGGCTCCATCAAGTTTGGGGATGCCTCTGGCGTGGAGATCAAGGGCGTTGGTTCCGTCATCTTCACCGCCATGTCTGGTGAGCACAGGCTGCTCACCGGAGTCTACTACATCCCCGCGTTGAGGAACTCTATCATCAGCTTAGGACAGCTGGATGAGAACGATTCACGCGTGGTGGTTGAGGATGGAGTCATGAGGATTTGGGATCGCTGTCGTCACCTCCTTGCTAAGGTATCCAGAAGCGCAAATCGACTCTACGTCCTTAACATGAAGGTGGCACAACCCCTCTGTCTCGCTGCTTGTCGGGACGACGAGAAGTGGCAGTGGCACGAGCGCTTCGGGCACTTTCACTTCGAGGCCTTGAAGCGGCTCAATGCCACGGAGATGGTGCGAGGCCTGTCGTGCCTCGACCATGTGGAGCAGCTCTGCGATGTCTGCGTGTTAACAAAGCAGAGGTGACTCCCCTTTCCCCAGTGGGCGAGCTTTCGAGCCAAGGAGAGGCTCGAGCTTGTGCACGAGGACTTGTGTGGCCCGGTGACACCGGCCACACCGGGAGGACGACGCTACTTCCTGCTGCTCGTCGACGACCTCTCCCGCTACATGTGGGTGATGGTCCTCGGTAGCAAGGGAGAGGCTGCGGACGCCATCAGGCGCTTGTAGGCTGCTGTGGAGGCGGAGTGCGGCCACAAGCTACGCGTGCTGCGCACCAACAACGGCGGCGAATTCACGACGGCTGGATTCACGTCGTACTGTGCTGATGAGGGCATTCAGCGCCACTACTCTGCGTCGTACAGCCCGCAGCAGAACGGTGTCGTCGAGCGGCGCAACCAGACGGTTGTGGGGATGGCTCGGGCCCTTCTCAAGTAGAGGGGGATGCCGGCTGTCTTCTAGGGAGAGGCGGTGGTGTCAGCCGTCTACATCCTCAACCGCTCGCCTACCAAGGCGCTCGACGGCAGGACGTCGTACAAGGCTTGGCATGGGCGCAAGCCGGCGGTCTCCCACTTGCGGGTCTTCGGCTGCCTCGCGTTCGCTAAGGAGCTTGGCCACATCAGCAAGCTCGATGACAGGAGCACTCTGAGAGTGTTCATCGGCTACGTGGAGTGCTCGAAGGCCTACCGCATCCTAGACCCAAAGACACAGCGTGTGCGCATGGCGCGCGACGTTGTGTTCGACGAAGGGCGAGGATGGGCGTGGGACAAGGCGGTGGACGACGGCTCGGCTCTGACGTACGACGACTTCACTGTTGAGTACGTCCACTTCAAGGGAGCTGGGGGAGTAGGCAGCTCTTCTTTGGCGAGCGCGTCTACCCCAGTCCCCCAGCCTCCACCGACCTCGGTGCCTGCTACTCCGATAGCACCACGCTCTCCAGCCAGGACCTCGGCTGCGATGAGTCCTTTGTCGTCTCCATCACAGCCGGCAACACCACGCACTCCAGCACCGACAGGCACCTCTCCGGGCACGTCTACTCCAACACCAGCTCGTGTCGAGCACAGCCCGGTTGAGCTCCTTACTCCGCTTTCTCACGACGAGGAGCGCATCGACGCGTACCATGATGGCGAGCCATTGCGGTACCGTACGATGGAGAACCTTCTCGGCAACTAGCCGGTGCTGGGACTGGTGCCTCACGACCTGGAGGACCTGGAGGCATAGTTGCATCTTGCATGTGACGACAGCGAGCCTCGGTCGTTCGCAGAGGTCGAGAGACACGCGGCATGGCGCGCCGCGATGCAGTTGGAGATGGATGCGGTTGAGAAGAACTGCACCTAGGAGCTTGCTGACCTCCCTCGTGGTCACCGCGCGATCACCCTTAAGTGGGTGTACACGCTGAAGAGGGATGAAGACGGAGCCATCGTCAAGCACAAGGCTCGCTTGGTGGCACGAGGTTTCGTGCAGCAGGAGGGAGTCGACTTCGACGACGCCTTCGCTCCCATGGCACGGATGGAGTCCGTGCGACTCCTCCTTGCGCTAGCTACCTAGGAGGGCTGGCGTGTTCATCACATGGACGTCAAGTCGGCGTTCCTTAACGGTGACTTGAAGGAGGAGGTCTATGTGCACCAGCCATCGAGATTTGCGATCCCCGGCAAGGAGGGCAAGGTGCTCCGCCTACGCAAGGCCCTCTATGGCTTGCGGCAGGCATCGAGGGCGTGGAATACCAAGTTGGATTCCACGCTAAAGGGGATGGGCTTCGAGCAAAGCCCGCACGAGGCGGTCATCTACCGATGGGGCAGTGGAGGAAATGCTCTGCTAGTGGGTGTCTACGTCGATGACTTGGTGATCACCGGCACCAAGGATGCGGAGGTGGCGGCATTCAAGGAAGAGATGAAGGCCACCTTCTAGATGAGTGACCTAGGGCCTCTCTCCTTCTACCTGAGAATCGAGGTGCACCAGGATGACTCCGGAATCACGCTTCGACATACCGCCTACGCCAAGCGCGTCGTTGAGCTAGCTGGGTTCACCGACTGCAACCTAGCTCTCACTCTGATGGAGGAGAGGCTGAAGCTGAGCCGCGATAGCACGACGGAGGAGGTGGACGCTACGCAGTACCGGCGTCTTGTGGGGAGCCTTCGCTACCTTGCCCACACACGGCCGGACTTGGCATTCTCCGTCGGCTACGTTAGTCGGTTCATGTAGCGATCGACGATGGAGCACCAGCAGGCTGTGAAGAGGATCATCCGCTACGTTGCGGGGACTCTCGACCACGACCTCTACTACCCTAGGTGTCCTGGGGTGGCACACTTCGTCGGGTATAGCGACAGCAACCACGCCGGCGACATCGACACCAACAAGAGCACGAGCGGGATCCTCTTCTTCCTCGGCAAGTGCCTCGTTAGCTGACAGTCGGTCAAGCAGCAGGTGGTGGCCCTGTCTAGCTGCGAGGCCGAGTACATAGCAGCCTCCACCGCTTCGACTCAGGCACATCCGGGTGAGGTACCACTTCATCCGAGGTTGTTTGGAGGAAGGGAGCATCAAGGCGAGCTACATCAACACCAAGGACCAGCTTACTGGTCACATGGTCTTTGTGGCTGCATGATCTGTTTTTAGGACATCATTTAAGCATCTAGGACAGCATCTTAGCATCTAGGACAGCATCTTATATTAGCATCTTGGTATATTCTTGGCTGGCTAGCAGCCTATAAATATGTATCCCCAACCCCTCAGGTTGGCATGACATTGTGTAAGAAATAAACCAAAAAATTGCCTCAACTCCTAGTGTCATCCTCTCTCGATGAGAGTAGAATTCTGCTACTACCAAGAGTAAGAATTCAACGACTAACAGGGTCAAACTAAACCCACATGAACAAACAGCACACAATAGTTTTGATGACTAAGGGTTGAGACCTCGGATGATGCAGCCAGAACTGAAAAAGCCCCAAGAAATCAACCAATAATCTATAAGCCTGAGCCTCAAAGGTGGGAATGGACACAAAAAACCCAGATCATTGTCATGCTGCATTAGAGCAAGTATAGTAATGCTTACTCAGCCGGCTGAATGCCTGTCCACGTCATAAAAGTCTGAGTTGGCGGAGAGAGAAAAGGAGAGAGAGAGAGTTGGGCGGGCGCTTGGTTCTTCGCCGGGCTAAAACGCAGGTACCGAGACAAAAGAAGTCCGCAGCCAGCCTTCGTCTACCTCTCTCCTGATCCCATACGCCGGGCATACAAACAATAAATACTTAAATATTCCTTACAGCCGATCTAGATAGCTAGTCCATTATATGTGCAAGTTGTATTACTTACTATATGTGACATGGCACAATCTCTCAGCCGGCAGTCGGCTGGCTTATTAGCCATGCTCTTAAGCGCAGTTGTATTTACATTTTCCACAACACAGAATCTGGTCATCTGACTTATTTCAATTGAGTTATAATGTTACATAGATCGTGGCATAAAGAACTACTCCCTCCGTCCCAGTTTAAGTGCACGTTTGCACTTCAAAAATTTTCCTGAAATAATCGGTTCGCATAGGCCAGCATAGCAGTGCAGCAGTAACCTCGAATCTTGGAACGTGGCAGAGGCGATTAAAAAAAGCATGAAACAGTCATTCCAACGCTTCCTGTCCACTCGTTCCCACCAGCCACAGAACGATTTGTCATTAAAAAATGAAAATGGACGTGAGGGAGCGGTGGGACGGGTCACTGAAGGAAGTACTCCTTAGTTTGCGCGCCCAAACGTAGAGGTGCAAATATTACAGGACGGAGGGAGTACATCATAACCAGCTTCCTCGAGGGGCTTGTGGCACTTGTTGGACAGCAGCTAGAGGGTTCATCTGGACAGAGAACGCAAGCTGAAGTGCATCAACGAATGCTCGTCGTAGAGAAGAAGCTTGCTGGAACACAGTCCTGTTCAGCAGATTCATACACAAAAAGTTCGCTTTTGACTGTTAAAGCACGAAAACAGACAAGGTGCCTTGGATCATATTGTCAACTGAGAAGTTCTTACCTCTTCAAGCCAGCAGTTTTCCTTCGGAGCATGTACATGGCTGAGAACAGCAGCATGAACAGAAACATTAACTTACCGCTTGGTAGAACAATATGTATTTTTCCAAACTTCAGGCGAATCGAATGAAACCACCAGAACAACGGATCAAATTGATTTGCAACATGCTGGGATGATTGAGCGGACTTCACTAGGACCTTTTTGAGCCCATCGTACACAGGGGCTATCTTTGAAGGATCCTCATGTGGCAATGGTGTTGAGCCATTTGTAGAAGTAGAAAGGGTCCTCTCTGCTGTCTGTTTTACCCCTTCAACAGTGGACAGTTTTTTATTTGCAGCTAATCGTATTGCATGAAGCTTTTTTAGTAGGTCCTGTAGAAAAAAAAAAGAAAGAAACAGCTTGATGAAAAAAGGAATGCAACAGTAAAACTTACTGAGAAAAGCAAGAATAATGGGAATTCAGAAACAAGTGGTTTTGGAAATATAAGGAGTCCTAGTTTAGCATGAAAATCATTTGAAAATGAGAAAAAACAAGCATACTGTAGTGGGAATTCATTCAGAAAAGAAATGGTTTTGGAAATATAAGGAGTCCTACTAGTTTAGCATAAACATTATCTGGAAACCTACAAGATCCCAAGCTGGTATAGACCTAAGTTGGCATAATGGAACATTTGGATTCAGTTTGCTGTAAAAGAGTTATTAACCAATGTTTACAAGAAAAATACCTGTCGTCTTTGCTCAGTCAGATCAGCTTTTTCTGCCCATGAGATAGCAGTTTCACTATCTTGAGAGACAATACAGAGGAATGTTACTGTATACAATTCTGCCACCTGAAAATACTGCCCAGTTGACATAACAGATGTAACAACAAAACCATTTGAAGCGCTGTCATGCCCTCCATCCAAAACATAAACCTCATCATTTGTATATCTCCAATTGGCAAGGTACTCCTCAAAGATTGGTCTGAGGTCAGATACAGATCCTGCTGCCATTTGAATGGTAGCTCTATGAGGAGAAATATAACGGTCATTGATACAGAAAAATGATGGACACATTACAGCTAATACTAAGTATATGAGACTTCTGAGTAGCAATTACCCTGTAAGGAAAACTCTAGCAGGTACTGATGGCACTGAACCAAACATCGTCTTAAGCTGAACAAACATCTCAGGGGTCCTGGAATATTTAGCATAGTGTGTTAGGATAAAAACATAGGCATGAGCTCTGCGTATGTTCAGCACAGGGAATCTCTACACTATGTAGGCACGTGATGCTTTCCATTTGGCAAATCTAGGCACTAATTTCATTATCAACAGTTTGTCTCATTACAGCACATAACAATATACCAAATTTGTTTCTGGCAGGAAGTATAGGTACAACAAATAAATAGGAATTGAGAAGGATTTACCTCCTGAGTTCTTTTAGTGCCTGCACAAGTACCATCCCAGTCGATTCAAGCATCTCCAGGAGCTCGTCCTGGTCGCATGCACTCTCCAAAGAGGCTGTGCGTATTTGATCAGCGACGGATAAAGCAGCCAACATCGCCTGCTCGAACGATCCACTGACTAGATAGCTGAGACATGAGGATGATAACAGGGTAAGGAAACAGTTGACAATTCTTCTTGCTTTTCAGATAAAACATGACCTTGCAAATTGAGGTATTCAGGTATGCAATGAAAAGCACTGTAAATAATGGCAAGCACTCTGCAGCTCCGTCGGTCATCAGCAGGCAGGAACGAAGATGTTCTAAAAATTCGGCAATCATAGCAACCATATCAAACAATGAGACTATGCTTCCGTGATTTCCCTCCTCTCCTTTTTTTTTTGTGTGTGTGTGAATGTTTTCCCTCCTCTTGCAGTTCTAAACTGAATGAAGCAAGATGCCCATAACAGATTTCTACTCAGGACAACGTAATTCGATTACAAAACCAGTACTCATCAATTAGTAATAAGCAAGGCCAGGAAACTAGCTACCCTAAGAGACGACACGGATAGAAAACATAGTGGGCAGGAGTAGGTAAAGGACGGAGCAGAAGGGAAGAGGGATCTTACTACTCGGCGTCGTCGATTTGCTTCCAGATAGGCGATTCCTGGGCAGAGGTCCCCATGGTTCCAGAGAGCAGGGGCGCGAACCTGTCGTGGTTCATTCAGGGGGAGAATTGAAGTTCGTAGGCGTGCATAATACCTGTATTATCTTTGCAATCACAACAGATCCGAATACAAATAGCCAAATATCTTAAGTTAGGGTTTGGGGTGCTCGGTCTCGAGCAGGAAAGAGAAGGGGCGGGCATACCTGGGGTGCTCGTCGCCGGCGAAGATCTGGGCGGCTCAGTCGTGAGCGCGTGCGGCGAGAAAGAGAGGCCACGAGGGTGAGGCAGGGCCGCAGGGGTGGGTGATTGGGGGAACGGACAACGGAGCCGGAGAAGAAAAGGTCGCAGGGGTGGAGGAGGACGATTGTAATTGACGACTATTTTATTTATTATTTATTAAAATCATTTACGGTCCTTAGATTCAAGTTCTTTTATTTTAAAATTCTATTTTTCAAATTATTCAAATAAACACGAATGAAGGAATTACTAAAACTACAGTTGTAGATTTTAAAAATATAGATTATAAGTTTTAAAAAATTGTACCAATTTCATATTTTCTAAATTAAAAAGAAATATGTATAAATTATAGTGATTTACCTATTATTTTATTATTTTTAGAAAATACATACATAATCAAAACCACTTTGAAACCAAAACTATTCTCTTCCTTATTTCACAACCACAACATTCATGCTTTCTTTATTTGACACCAAAAACATTCATGCTTTCCTTATTTAACACTACATAGTTCTGATATATTTTATTAAAAAAATCATAGTTGTGACATAGAGGGGCATATGGGTCATTTTGGTGGCTACTTAACACCATTAATCAGCCTGTTCGTTGATTGGTTTCTAGGCTGATAAACCCGGCTGGTGGTGATTTGTTGTGAGAGGAAAATACTATACCATGGCTGATAAGCCCTGGCTGAAACTAATAAGCGAACAGACTTAATGAAAGAAATGGATGCTAGTGCCACATAGGAAAGGAAATTTCAACTCGATGCTAGATAAGGAACTTTGATTTTGAGAGTGCCTTAGAAAAAATACTGATTTTTTTAGTGGCCAATAGATAATTCTCTCTTGTATATATATACCGTGTTTTTTAGGGCTTTGGGAGTTTTGTTTCTGATCCTAGTGCTCAACTTCTCTTTGTAAAGTTTGTTTATTACTTTCTAATAATGTCTTCTTTCTTTGTAAAATAATTCCTCTGTTTCAAAATTAGAATTTATTTTGACTTTTCTATATACATACATAGAGTCTGATTAGATGCATATATTAGCCTTAGCTTTCATTAAATTTTATGCAGCATAACCTAAGTGTAAACATATGCAATGCCTTCTTGTTTGGTTGTTCTACGTCTGACAAAATTGTGGTTGTTTGTTTACTTTTTATTTCTCCTTATATGTTTTATTAAGGGTCTCATGTTTCTAGTAAAGGTCGAGAATGTAAAAAAATTTTATTTTTGTGCGCACATCAACTTATACAAATTTACAACGTCTAATACGGAAAAATCTTGTGTACTGCCTAATGTTGCATTTGCCTACTCTAAGCATCGTGCAAGCCCACATAAGAGCCTCTGCAACTAAACATAGGTAATTAAATTGCATTTCACCAGCTGGATACAAACTAATGCAATTAATCAATCAAACTCATAGTGTATATCTAGGTGTATAAATAAAACTATGCATCTAAGAATAACTCCTATAGACTTTCTATATCATTACTAATTGTTAGAAATAGAGAATTTGGTGAAAAAAATTACTCCAATAGCTTCTCTAATTGATATCTAAATATAGCCATCTTATATTTTGGATTTCTGGCTAGCCAAAGATGGACAAAGAGGTTAACTCTCTACTCTCTATAGTGCATACAAGATATAAAAAAAGTTGTTCCAAGGCTCTCCAAATGTTGATTTACATGATGAATTTTAAAAAGACTCTTAGATATGCTTAAAAAAGCTAGAACCATCCTTCAGTGCTCCTGGACCGTCTGCGCGTACACTCCTCACTGGACCTTCTCTATTGTCGTTGATCATGTCACGCAACACCTGCACATAACAAAGCCAAAGAGACATGCATGTTGTACACACAACTCTCGCATGCCACAGTTAGTCTCCCACACACTTAACCAAAGCTCGTATCACCTCAATAACAAACACTCATCACTCACACATGGACATATATCAACCACGTGTTTGCAGCTTGTATTCAAGTGAGCATAAAGAAAAGATACACTCACACGTGAACATATATCAACCATGTGTTTGCAGCTTGTATTCAAGTGAGCATAGAGAAAAGACACGAGACGGATCGGAAAGAAGATCCTTGTTTTTTCCAATGTAGCATTACAAAAAAATCTTAGACTATCTCTATTTGAATAGGTGAGGATCTCCAGGCTGAAATTTGCTTCTTTATCAGATTTATCTCCTTGTGGGTCCGTGAATATACAGTTGAAGGAAGAAACTCACAACGCAAACATGGATGACTTTCACGGAGCGATACAACTTCCAGATTCATCGCTGCTTCCATGGCACGTCTTATGTATCTTGTGAACTTTGCTTCAACTTGAAATCCCTCGATAGTGAGCTTTTTCATATTATAATGCTTGAAATCATGATGTGTCTCCCATTTTAATAAATCAGCTGCCCTATCAAAGTTTTCTCGTGTATTCTCATCCGTTTGATTCTCTTCGTCTGAGTAACATATATGGTATGACATCTGCAAAAGATTCAAAAGTTAACACTGATTCTTATGACATGTTTATTGGTCCTGCAAATTAGCATATATGAGGACTACTTAGTAGCCACAAAAAATGTCACATAGGAAAAATGAAACAACTTACATCCGGTTCCTATATTCACCGTGTCTGTATCAAAAACCTTACATTTGTTTTTATAATATAACACATCAACACATTTTTATATAGGGATCCTATTCTCATTTCTCTACTATAAAAATGCAAATAAATACCTAGGATGAATTAAATAAATTAAATTAAATATGAAAAATATACCTGTATGTTAAGTGTATGTAAGAGGGGTGCGGCTTCTAAGATGAACAATGTCCACATTAGGTCATACTCTTCATGAATAAACCGGAGTGTAACAACCCTCAAATTCTGCAGCAGAGGAGCAAGTCGTTTTGGACCTTCAGGTTGAATCCAAATCTACACCAAATAAATATAGTAGAGACAATTATTATCAGTAAAACAATATTCTGAAGCATATATAAACACGTTTCCAACAATTAAAATTTATTTCACTATTATCACTCACCTTTTCGTATAGGAAATTCAGATCAAGTTCACCAACAGCAGTATTACCAAGGAACTCAGTTAGCTTAATAGTTTTGTGCTGAGCCGTGCAAGCATTACTTAGAGTTAGCACGCGAAGCTGTGGAACATAGCCAATTGACAGTGGATACTGATCCTGTGAAGGCATCCAATTTCGACATGTCAAGCGTGTGAGCCTTGGAAGCCACTTGAGCTCAACAGTCCCAAATCCGCAGAAAATAATGACCAACTCAACAAGTCGCGAATGCTCTATTTGTAACACAAACGACTGATCGTCGTCAATCCCTGCGTTGCAGTTCACAAGACTAAAGTACTCCAGCTTCTCGCATGTGCTAAGCACATTAGCGATGTCGGATTCGCCGAGCCTTAGAGTATGTAAGTTCAGGTCCTTGAGACCGGTAAATGCACGGGGGTACGCATCAAAGAACGTCATGAAGCGCCTCCCGTAGGCGAGCAGAACATCGTCGTCTTCGCAGTAGACGTCCGGAACGTCCGGGATGACCGTGAACTCGGCCGCGAGGATCATGTGGTCTGCCATGGCTCTGTCCACGGCGCGAACAATGCCGATGGATTCGTCCCTGAGATAGAATGTGATGTCCAGGAGCTGGATGGTGGTGTGCTGGCGGCGATGCTGCCGCAGGATGCTCTTTGTGGCTCCGACCACGGAAGCGTTAGTCCGCAACAGGTCGTCCATTGTGTACTCCAAATCGTCGTCCTGATGCGTAGCGTCGAAGTTCAGAACGTCCAGAACGATCTCGGAACGGAGCCCTAGCAAATGCCTCCAGCGCTTTGAAAGGACAGTGGTCCTTGCAGCGTCACGTATCAGGTTGAGCTTATTCAGGATCAGAAGGAGGATGTCGTCTGGGAGGGTGCTTAGCCTATCATCGTCCTCCTGTTCATGCACCTGTAATGTAATGTTAGATTTGACGTGGATGACACAGAGAGGAGAAATATACATAGAGTAAAAGATGGCAACAAACGCGACGATCGGATCCTATCCTAAAACTTGGAGTTGATCGATCGGAGCGTTCAAACTAACAGGCGACTAGATTGAGTATACCAACCGATTGATCGATTTTTTTTTAGAAAGGTGGCAAAAGCTTTGCCGAATTTTTATTAGACGAATCAACTGATTGATCGATCGATCCATCGAATTACTACAAAACTATGAGATCGATCGAATTGCTATGCTACAATACTACGTCTAGTCCCGACCACCACGCCCAAACTGAAAACTAGATGCCCCCCAAGAGTTCAAGATGAATGAATGAAATCAATACGAGTCCCGGCGGGAGGACAATCTTGGGTTCCTCCCAACGCGCGGCGGTAGGGTCGTCGTGGACTCGTGGTTCCTGATTCGTTTCCATGGGGTGGAGAGGCTGCTTGCTTATAAAACCCCCGATTTTTGACCTGGTATATCGTACTCGGAGCCAGAGTTCGTGCCGGATACGGTTACACTCGCAACTTCGGGCCCAACAAAACCGGATCGGAACAGCCCACGCTTCGTTTCAATCAAGAAAAGAAAATAACAGCCCATAATGAGCCAGAGCGGAACGGCCCATCACGAGCGGCGGTACGGCGGCTACGGGTGAGAACTGCTTCCCTTATTAGAGCATCATCGTCTCCACCAGTCAGATTGAGTATCCCCTTTTCCTCGAGAAGGATCTAGAGAGGCTACGAAGAGGACCGATGAATGAAACAAATATTGTAGCACACAAGGAAATT